CATCACTGTATGTATTGAATATTCATGTTAAAATTAAAATTATACAGAACGGATCGAGTGGAGAATGATAATTATGTTGTTGTAAGGTGTAGCAGTAAATTACTATCAAATTTATGATTATGTTTTTTTAATGTGTTATTACAAAATATAATTTATTTCTTCGAACAAAAAAAAAACTAATGGGAGTACAATAAATTATAAATGTTTGCATTGAAGCTAAAATTATAAGGTAGTGAAGTGATGTAGAAGTGTGGATATTTGTGTGGCTAAAGTTAGTTTAGTAATTCGGTTGGGAATTTATAATTGGAATTTATTTTAATTTCTTCATTTTTCTGAAAAATATGGGATTATAATTAGTTTTGAATATTCATATTAAAATTAGTATAAGAAATATAGTTTTTTTTTATTAAAAAACGCTTTCTAATTTTCGTTTTTTTTTATAATATTTTAGTTTATTTCTCGAAAACTAATTCGATTACAACAAATATTGAATATTGATATTAAAACTAAGAATATAAGGAATAAAAGTAGTAACTAATGATATTTGGGTATTTTAAGATGGTTTTAGAAATTGGTTTACAAATGTCTACTTGTTTTTTTTTAATAGTCTTCATATTTTTTCATATTTCTCAAAAACTAATTGAATTACAACAAATATTGAATATTCATATTAAAACCAAGATTATAACGAATAAAATGAGTAAATTATTATATTTGGATCGTTTGAGATAGTTTTAGAAAATATTTTATAAATGTGTGCTTATTATTTTTTAAATAGTCTTCATATTTTTTTAAATTTCTCAAAAACTAATTGGAGTACAAGAAATATTGAATATTCGTATTAAAACTAAGATTCTAAGGAATAAAATTATTATATAATTAGATTTTGGTCATTGAAAGTGATTTTAGAAAATCGTTTGCAAATGTGTCATTGCTTTTTTTTTCAATAAAGTCTTCATATTTTAGTATATTTCTTGAAAACTAATTGGATTACAACAAATATTAAATATTCATATTAAAACAAAGATTATAAAGAATAAAATGAGTAACTAATGATATTTGGATCGTTTGAGATAATTTTAGAAAATATTTTACAAATGTGTCCTTCTTTTTTTGAAATAGTCTTCATATTTTTTTAAATTTCTCAAATAATAATTGGAGTACAGCAAATATTGAATATTCATATTAAAACTAAGATTATAAGGAATAAAAGAGTAACTAATGATATTTGGGTCGTTTAAGATGGATTTAGAAAATCCTTTACAAATGTGTACTTGTTATTTTTTAAAAAGAGTCTTCATGTTGCTTTAAATTTCTCAAAAACTAATTGGAGTATAATAAATATTGAATATTCGTTTTAAAACTACGATTACAAGGAATAAAAGGAGTAACTAATGATATTTCGGTCGTTTAAGATGGTTTTAGAAAATGGTTTACAAATGTGTACTTGCTTTTTTTTTTCTAATAGAGTCTTCATATTTTTTCATATTTCTCAAAAACTAATTGGAGTACAACAAATATTGAATATTCATATTAAAATTAAGATTATAGGGAATAAAAGTAGTAACTAATGATATTTGGGTTGTTTAAGATGGTTTTAAAAAATCGTTTACAAATTTGTACTTGTTTTTTTTTTTAATAGTTTTCATATTTTTTAAATTTCAAAAACTAATTGAAGTACAATAAATATTGAATATTCCTATTAAGACTAAGATTATAGCAAATAAAATAAGTACATTTTATAATTAGGTCTTTGGGTCTTTAGAATTTTTTTTACAAATATATCACTATATTTTTTTCCTGTAGTATCTCTATATTTTAGTTTATTTCTCAAGAACTAATATGAGTACAATAAATTTAAAACATATATATTAAAATTAATATTATAGGTAATAAAATAAGTCCATAAAGATATTTGTGCTGTTTAAGATCTTCTAGTTAAGAACTGTCAAAGTAAAAATTGTGTTCTGATACTTCAGATTGTGACTAAATGTAAAATAATGTTTTCCTTGTATTAATCTAATGCGCATTTTGATGGTACTACATTTGTGAATAATAGCGGAGGTGTGTCTGGAGATGGAATCGGATAAAATTCATCCGAATCGGAGCGACGAAGTTCGAATCCCAATTAAAAGATGTTGTTGAATTCTGATGAGTCTCATTCCTTATTTTTGTTTCGTTTCTTTTTGGCATGGGAAATTATAACGCGACGTAAACTTTTGTTTTCGTGTCTAGCTGAGACGGCTTTAAAAGTAAGCAAATGAAACATGAATTAAATATTACGAAAAGATATTGTCTAGAGAAGCGCAGAGAGAAGAAGAGGTAAAGGTGAGGTGAGGTGGAGATGGTGGAGGTACCGTCTATCTACGTGTATCCGGTGCGAGTTACGTGATTAACCTGGCTACTCGTTTCTCATCAATACGAAATTCCCATATGCATGCACACATTACGTTCGTGATACAAAAAACATAGTATAATTCTTGAATTACGTTGATTCACGAAACGCTCTTCGGATCAAAGTATTAATTTGTTCCAAATTTCTAAATAAAAATCAAAGAATTTCATGATTTGCTAAATGATTATTAAACTTACAATATAAAAACACACTTAACAAATATAAATAAGCAATTTCATTACTATTTTACCTACATTTATAACATATTTTTACAATTATCAAAAAATCTAATGAGTATATTCTAATTGAAGATTGCCTTTTATAATTTTTTACAGCTTATTACAGGAGAACGGTAAACACTACAAAATTGAAAATACGCTTATTGGAAAGGCCATAGTTTTATGTTTAATTACCATATTTGTTAATTCAATTATCATGAGTTGTTATGGAGTAATTAAATAAAATGTGAAGGCTTTAAAAAAAATAATCGAACAATCGCAATTACATGGTTAAAATTAGAAAATCGAACTCACCTGAGATATTTATAGTTTTTCTGTAATTAATAGACATTTTTAACATTTATATATAGTTCTTAATAGATAAAATATATTTAATTACAAAAAAAATAATAAGTATGTTCTAATTGGAGATTACCTAAAATCTCTGCTTTTTATATATTTTACAGCTTATTACAGGAAAACGGTAAAAGTTACAAACCTGAAAATATGTTTATTGGAAAGGTCATAGTTTTATCTTTAATTTCCATATTTGACGATTCAATTAGCATGAGTTGTTATGGAGTAATTAAATAAAATGTGAAGGCTTAAAAAAAATAATCGAAAATGGCAATTACAAAAAATATTGTTAAACTTAGAAAATCTAAGTAACCTGAGATATTTATAGTTTTTATATAATCAATATACATTTTTAATATTTATATATATTTCTTAATAGATAAAATATATTTAATTACAAAAAATTACTAAGTATTTTCTAATTGGAAATTACCCAAAAACACTGTTTTTTATACATTTTTACACCTTATTGCAGGGGAATGGTAATCACTACAAACGTGAAAATACACTTATTAGAAAGGCCATAGTTTTATCTTCAATCTCCATATTTGTTAATTCAATTAGCATGAGTTGTTATAGAGTAATTAAATGAAATGTGAAGTCTTGAAAAAAATAATCGAAAAATGGCATTTAGAAAAAAATATTGTTAAATTTAGAAAATCGAAGTCACCTGAGATATTTATAGTTTTTCTATAATTAATAGACATTTTTAACATTTATATATATTTCTTAATAGATAAAATATATTTAATTACAAAAAAATTAATAAGTATGTTCTAATTGGAAATTACCCAAAAACACTGTTTTTTTTTTATACAATTTTACACCTTATTACAGGAGAATGGTAATCACTATAAACCTGAAAATATGCTTGTTGGAAAGACCATAGTTTTATCTTTAATTTCCATATTTGATGATTCAATTAGCATGAGTTGTTATGGAGTAATTAAATAAAATGTGAAGGCTGGAAAAAAATAATCGAAAAATGGCAATTACAAAAAAAAATTGTTAAACTTAGAAAATCGAAGTCACCTGAGATATTTATAGTTTTTCTATAATTAATAGATATTTTTAACATTTATGTATATTTCTTAATAAATAAAATATATTTAATTACAAAATAAAATAATAAGTTTGTTCTAATTGGTGATTACCTAAAAGCACTGCTTTTTTCTGCTTATTACAGGAGAACGGTAAAAGCTACAAACCTGAAAATATGCGTATTAGAAAGGCCAAAGTTTTATCTTTAATTTGCATGTTTGATGATTCAATTAGCATGAGCTGTTATGGAGTAATTAAATAAAATGTGAAGTCTTGAAAACAATAATCGAAAAATGGCAATTACAAAAAAATATTGTTAAACTTAGAAAATCGAAGTAACCTGAAATATTTATATTTTTTATATAATTAATAGTATTTATGAACATTTCTTAATAGATAAAATATATTTAATTACAAAAAAAATAATAAGTCTGTTCTAATTGTAAATTACCTAAAAACATTGCTTTTTTATAAATTCTTACATCTTATTACAGGAGAACGGTAAAAGCTCCAAACCTGAAAATACGCATATTAGAAAGGCCAAAGTTTTATCTTTAATTTGCATGTTTGATGATTCAATTAGCATGAGTTGTTATGGAGTAATTACATAAAATGTGAAGACTTAAAAAATAATCGTCATTACAAAAAAATGTTTAAAACTAAGAGAATCGAAGTCATCTGAGATATTTATTGTATTTAGTAATGTATACATTTATAAATAGACGAAATATATGTACATAAATAATATAAATACTTCAAATAACGATTTAGTAAGAATGTAAATGATATAGAAAAAGAAAAATATCTTGTTTCAATTTTCATAAATATTAAATATTTGTACCACTTTGGTTGTTTATGCGTTATTTATTTAAATTCAAAATACGATCGGTGAAGCAAAGAGTAGAGAAGAGACACAAACTATAGTAATTATGCTGTAGCAATGTAAACGGAAAAGTCTATATGAATCTTGTTGTTGTTTTTTCTTTCAGAACATGATGTGGATTGATGAGACTAATCGAGAAAACGAAAGTGGATCGGATAGCGACACCAGCGGTGAAGAATTGCCCATATGGGTGAGGGGAGAGCAACGATGGGTGTCCGGAGTTGTCGAGGAGACCACATGCCAGGACATCATCGGTGTTTTACTTCACGATGAAGAGAATAGGGTTAGTAATATAAACATTTTTTATTGTTAGAATCTTCGTGTTTCTATGATTCATATTGTTCGGTTTTCTAGGGGAAGCAGGTCGGAACGGTGGAGGATTATCATATTACCGAGAGATGGAGGGGCGTTGAACAGCTTCTGGATCCGTACGCTAACATCTTGCATATTTGGAACGCATGGGGAACGGCACAACCTGAGGTACAATTTTTTTGTCTAATTTATACTTACAATATTAAAAAAAATCAATAGCATCAATGCGCAATGTTTACGAAGTGAAATTTATAGGGAAAGTAATACCTCACATAGTGCGGCTTCAAATAATGCGGTTTTTCTATAGTACGGTAGAGTAAAATACAAATAAATTCTTCAAAATAATCTTGTCAAACTAAGTAAATCGAAGTCACCTGAGATAATTACAGTATTTAGTAATATATAAATTTGTTAATTATCATCATAAATATCAAAGAAGTATGTTTTAATTAAAAGTTACCTGAACTTTTGACAGTTTATTACAGAATAACTATGAATATCATTAATTTGGAAATGGGCTAATTGGAAAGTACATAGTTTTATCTTTAATTTCCATGTTTGTTAATTCAATTATTTGGTTTTGTTAGCGAGTAATTAAATAATAAGTTAAGGTATATAAAAATTATTGAAAAATCACTATTACAAAAAACTTGTTAAAGTAAGAGAATCGAAATCACCTGAGATATTTATAATAGTTAAAGTATTTTTTTGCAATTATATATTCATTTTAATATATGAAATATGTTTAATTACAAAAAAATCTCATAAATATGTGCTAATTAGAAAATGCTTGAAAACACTACAATTCCCATATTTTGACAGCCTATTACAGTTTTACTATAAATATCACAAGTCTAAAAGTAGGCTCATTGGAAAGAGTATAATTTTATATTTAATGTCCGTATTTGCCAATTCAATTACTAGGTTTTCTTAGCGAGTAATTCAATAATAAGTGAAGATATAAAAAAATAATTGAATAATCGCCTTTACAATAAAACTTGTTAAACTAAGAGAATTGAAGTCACCTGAGACATTTGTAGTACTTAAAGCATTTTTTTGAATTTAGTTATTTATTTTAATACACAAAAATTGTTTAATTATAAAAAATCTCATAAATATGTTCTAATTAAAAATTACCTGAAAACACTACAATACCCATATATTGACAGCCTATTACAGATTAACTATAAATATCACAAATCTGAATGTAGGCTTATTGGAAAGCGCATAGTATTATCTTTAATGTCCATATTTGCCAATTCAATTAGTAGACTTTGCTAGCGAGTAATTCAATAATAAGTGAGGGTATAAAAAAAATAATTGAAAAATCACAATTACAAAAAAAACTTGTTAAACTAAGACAATCGAAGTCACCTGAGATATTTTTAGTATTTAAAGTATCTGTTTGAATTTGTATATTCATTTTAATACAGGAAATATGTTTAATTAAAAAAAATCTCATAAATATGTTCTAATTAGAAATTACCTGAAAACACTACAATTCCCATATTTTGACAGCCTATTACAAATTAACGATGAATATCACAAATCTGAAAGTAGGCTCATTAGAAAGAGCATAGTTTTATCTTTAATGGCCATATTTGCTAATTCAATTAGTATGCTTTGTTATGTAGTAATTAAATAAAATGCGAGGATATAAAAAACTAATTGAAAAATCGCCTTACAAAAAAACTTGTTAAATTAAAAGAATCGAAGTCACCTGAGATATTTATAGTACTTAAAGTATTTTTTTAGGATTTACTTATTTATTTTATTAGACAAAATAGGTTTAATTATAAAAATTCTCATAAATATGTTCTAATTAGAAATTAGCTGAAAACATTCATATTCCCAAATTTTGACAGCCTATTATGCAATAACTATAAATATTACAAATCTAAGATTAGGCTCATTGGAAAGGACATAGTTTTGTCTTTAATTTCCATGTTTTTTAATACAAATAGTAGGCGTTGTTATCAAGTAATTAAATAAAATGTGAAGGTATAAAAAATAATTGAAAAATCGCCATTACAAAAAAATTTGTTAATTTAAGAGAATCGAAGTCACCTGAGATATTTTTAGTATTTAAAGTATCTTTTTGAATTTGTATATTCATTTTAATACAGGAAATATGTTTAATTATAAAAAAAAAATCTCATAAATATGTTCTAATTAGAAATTACCTGAAAACACTAAAATTCCCATATTTTGACAGCCTATTACAGATTAACTATGAATATCACAATTCTGAAAGTAGGCTCATTGGAAAGAGCATAATTTTATCATTAATGTCCATATTTGCCAATTCAATTAGTAAGTTTTCTTAGCGAGTAATTCAATAATAAGTGAAGGTATAAAAAAATAATTGAAAAATCACCATTACAAAAAAATTTGTTAAACTAGGAACATCGAAGTCACCTGAGACATTTATAGTACTTGAAGCATTTTTTAGGATTTATATATTTATTTTAATACATGAAATATGTTTAATTCAAAAAAATCTCATAAATATGTTCTAATTAGAAATTACCTGAAAACACTACAAATCCCATATTTTGACAGCCTATTACAGTTTAACTATGAATATCACAATATCACTGAAAGTAGGCTCATTGGAAAGAGCATAGTTTTACCTTTAATCTCCATATTTGCCAATTCAATTAGCAGGCTTTGTTAGCGAGTAATTCAATAATAAGTGAGGGTATAAAAAAATAATTGAAAAATCGCCTTTACAAAAAAACTTGTAAAATTAAGAGAATTGAAGTCACCTGAGATATTTATAGTATTTAAAGTATTTTTTAGGATTTATATATTTATTTTAATGGGTTTAATTATAAAAATTCTCATAAATATGTTCTAATTAGAAATTAGCTGAAAACATTGATATTCCCAAATTTTGACAGCCTATTATGGAATAACTATAAATATCACAAATCTAAGATTAAGCTCATTGAAAAGGACATAATTTTGTCTTTAATTTCCATGTTTGTTAATTCAATTAGTTGGCGTTGTTATCATGTAATTAAATAAAATGTGAAGGTATAAAAAAAAATTGAAAAATCGCCATTACAAAAAAAAAACTTGTTAAACTAAGAGAATCAAAGTCACCTGAGTTATAGTATTTATAGTATTTATTTAATATTTTTACTAGAGAAAATATAAAAATTACATAAAATTACTCTCAATTATTAAAAATGATTAAATTACGTTAAAAAGTACATATCTTTATACAGTCGAGTCTTTTTTTGTGCTTTTTATTATACGGTTTTAAAATCCTCGATTAGTCCGATCTCAAAGAGTGTTTTTTTTTATTGTTAATTTGTTCTCAAATATTTCACAACTTCTTCTTAGAGCATTCATCATAATTACAATTTGCATATTTGAGAAGGTTGGCTTTAATTCATCATTATTATTTATAACCTTTATTAAAATATTTTCTTAATTCTTCTACGTTCGATCATTTCTAATTTGTGTTAAATTTTTTTATAATTAGTCTTGACATTACTATTTACGCAGATTCGAGGAGATTTCTTTTAATTCATCATTTGTAATTATGAAATAATTGTTGTTGAAAGAATTGTGAAAATGATATTGAAATTAAACTTTTTGGAAAGAAATCTTTGAAAATGTTCATTGAAATGCAGTTTTTCAAGAAATAAAAATGCTTATTTACTTAGATATTTTTTAATGGAAAACATGAACAAGTTTTGCAGAAGAAACAATCAAGAAATTGTAAATTAAACAGAATAATTTTATGATCTCTTTTCTTGAGGTTGTAACGATTGCGAAATGATTTTGATATTAAAAGTTATTTGTCGCTAAAATTGTGTAATGTTAACGACCTTCGTAATTAAGGCAAGTTGATGATTATGATGATTTTTCTTAATGATGTGATGTTTTTCAGGTGAAGATCTCGCTGAGGCGAATCAAGAACGAAGGCGGCAGCAATCTGAGTAGGAAGTCGAGGTACAGGTCGAACGCGAGTCTACTGTCGGAGAGGAGCGCCTTCAAGACGATCCATCCGAAGCGACTGGCCGCGTTGCAGAACGAGAAGCAACCGTCCAGCACGGAGGAGCTGCTGAAGTTGGTTCTAGCTCAAGGTAAAGTCATCAGGAAACAATTAAAGAAATTAAGGTACACGACGACAAAGCTTTTGTGCAGAGAGGAGAACCGTACTAATCGATTGATTGTATTGATTTGCAGGCACAGCGAACATCAGATCGGTTTCCTGGAAGATAAAACGCACAAGGCTCGCATCCAGAAGCACGGACGGAATTACCTTTTGGAAACGTACTTGAAGGGATTGTCTGAAGCTGTCGAACCTGAATTGGATAATATCACGTTGGCGGATAAGAACAGCGACAGCGGAGTGCTCACTGAAGGTGACAGCGAGCAGTCTAATAACAACAATAAATTGGACACTGAGGTAAGTTGGATTAGTGATAAATTAATCGAATTGTTAATTAATTTTTTTGTACAGAATTCGTTTGATCGTTTCTCGTCGCCTTCTTCGCACGAGTTCAGCAAAGATCTCCGAGATGACGACACCAGTTCTACGATCAGCGAGGCCACAGCTAAGGAGCAAATCGATCTTTACGAGAGAATCGCCAAGCTGAATAAGCGTCTCCTGAAGGAGGAGGAAGCCCTGGCGCGACTGTACGCCAGCATGAAGAAGTACAACAAAACCAAATCCGCGTCCGAAGACGTGAACAAATCCCTGACGCATCTGCGAACGAGGATGGCGAAGAGCTCGTGCGAGATGCAGCACAACGAAGTGGTCCTTGAAGAAACAAAAGACGCTATTGAGAGTCGTCGTTCGTACCTGGACACCCTCCACAGGGACCTCGTCAATGAGGATCAAGAGTTCGACATGCTTCAAACTCTCCTCTACTCGATCAATTTGAAAGCGGAACCGAAGAACCCCGTCCCCCATAATTCTAATTATACCAAAGAATTATTAGATACCTTAGTTTAACTACTACCTTATGGTTATTACTTACATATTATTTCCATTTTTATACCAAATATTTTTGTACCTAAAATTTTTTTTTTACAAGTCATATTAATTAATTAATTAATAATTAAATAAATAGTAATAAATAAATAAATAAACTGTAATATTTTGTAAATAAATATGTTGATGTTTCGTCATTCAATTATTTTTCAACTGTCTCATGGACCCCTCTACGCAGAACAACAAACAACTACTATTATTAGAGTCGATATTCCGAGAAACGTCCAAAGCGAAATAAAATTGCTCCTTCCCGCTTCTACGAAATTGTAGTCGAACCGCAATTACGGACCTCACGTATACAAAATTCTTTCCTTCTTTCTTCATCTTATATAACAAAAAATCAACATTAATTCAAAGAAACTATATTTTGCATTTTTATAAAAATCGATCTAAAACTGTACCAAAACAATATTTCATATGCAAGAACCTCGTAGTTTATATAATTCATATTTTATCATAAAACGTAGGCAACACAAATATCGTCAAATTTATAATTATATACTTAACATTTTGATATTAAACGAAATTAGTAATTGTTAACAGTTTAACAGTTAATTACATAAAAACCGTGATAACTATAAATCTTTCGAATAATTCACTAGAAAGCATGAATGTTTGCCTTAAATTAAAGTATTAATCGATGCTTGAATTCTGAAGGATAAAAGAGGGAAACGTTAAAGCCTAAAGACATTGCATTTTCGAGACAGTTTTTAACAAATGTGTTTCAGTTAATTGCTGAAATATTGTTATAGCTAGAGATTAGCAAATTTCTAGTTATAAACTTTATATAATTATCTTTAATTTAAGTATCAATTTATGATAATACAGAATGGTAACCAAGAAAAATTATTGAACGTGAAAACTCAAAAAATATCAACTTTTACAGTAAATTCTAAGAAAACCTTAAGAGTTACAGATCTTCTGAGTGTTTTACTACTAATCAAATGTATATTTCATTAATTAAAGAATAAATTGATGACTTTGTCTTAAAGGATAACAGAGAAAAAAGTTAAAATTTAAAGGTATTGCATTTTCGAGACAGTTAAGAAATATGTTCCAAATTTGACAGTTAATTATTGAAAAATCGTTAAAGCTAAAGATTCACAATTTATTCTTTAGAAATCTTATATAATTATCTTTAATTTGAGTATTAATCAATGATTGTATTACGAATTGTAAGCGAGAAAAATTGTAAAACGTGAAAACACTGCCAGTTATAATAAATAACTTTGTCAGTTAATAACAAGAAAACCTTAAAAGCTACAAATCTTCTGAGTGTTTTACTGGAAAGCAAATATATATTTCATTATTAAAGAATTAATTGATGACTTTGTCTTAAAGGATAACAGAGAAAAACGTTAAAATGTAAAGGTACTGCATTTTCGAGACAGTTAAGAAATATGTTCCAACTTTGGCAGTTAATTTTAGAAAAATTGTTTCAGCTAAGAATTCTCAAATTACTAGTTAGAAATCTTATATAATTATCTTTAATTTGACTAATCGATAGTTGTATTACGAATTGTAATCGAAAAAAATTATAAAACGTCAATTAAAAATAAAAGTTTTTTCAACATTGACAGTAAATTTCAGAAAAACCGTGATAATTGCAAATTTTCTGAGTAGTTCACTATAAAGCACGTATATTTATCTTTAATTTAAGTATTGGTCGATGTTTGTACATTAAAGGATAACAGAGGAAAACGTTAAAACATGAAAACACTGCATTTTCGAGGCAGTTAAAAACGTGATTGCTATTAATATATTGAATAATTTACTGAAAATCATAAATATTTGTATTTCATTAAAGTAATTGTGGATAATTCTTTCCTAAAGGATACCAGAGAAAAATGTTAAAACGTAAAAACGCTTTAAAAAAAATGTATCAACTTTCGACAGTTAATTGTGACAAAACTGTGAGAGCTTCAAATCTAGTGAATAGCTTAATGGAAAGCCTTTACATTGCTTTAAATTTGTTTGTTTTGCAGTTTATGGATAAATATATCACCTAACCAGGTTCTATCGTTGCTTAACTATCAATAATAATGTTTCTTTTTTACGTTGAATGAATGAAAAGATCATAGGAAGTCAGGAAGAGATTTTTTTTAGGAAAATGAGCGTTGTCAGATGTAGTTGAATAAATAGTTGTTGCATTTAATAAATCATTATTATTACTTAATGAACAAAATAATATATTTACATATAAAAAAAAATATAAAATAAAAATGAAAACAATATACACAATAATTTATATACATACGGAAAGAAAAGAGAGAAAAAAAAACACAAATATTATATATATATCAGTAATTATGTCATCATATATCTCATACGAGTTGTGGTCTCATCATCATAATTCAAAGATAACACTCATCGTACGCATATCAATAATAATAATAATAATGTAGGCTGTGCAGTGGCCGTAGTCAAGAGCAACCGTTACAACAATTGCACGTAAATAAGAACTAATGGCATATCAGTTAATTAATTAATTAATTATAGATGTATAAAATACAAAGTATTGCTTCTTGTTAGTCACATATTTTATTTATTTCATTATTTTTTTTTTTTGAAAAAATATCACTTATCCGTTATTTGGCAAACTCCATGCCCCCAATTACAAAATCCCATTCACTCAGCTCAAAATCCTCACACAATATCTTCTCATCATCATCTCCTTTCACATCCAATCATCAAATTTCTATATATATTCCTATTTACTTCACGAAATTTACTTCTTTCCATTATTATTTAGTTTTTAATATATTAACTCTTATTATTTCCTCCTCTTCTTACTCAAAACTCAAAACCGCTAGTAAATCGAAAACAATAATCGTCTCTTTTTTTTCTTCTTTAGTTAGTTAATAATTATGTCTGTTTCGATACGTAAAACACTCGCTATTACAGTTCATTTATCATTACAACAGCAGTACCTAATGCGATAAAGTATGTTTATCGTTTTTAAATTATTTAATTACTTCTTTTTGTTTTTTCAATATTATATGAGAACTATGGCGTACAAATGGCGTGGAATGGAGTGACTCGTAAACTCGGTGTATGTGTGTCTATTAGGATCATCTTTTCTCGTTTCTCTTTTCGTTTTGTTTAAATATGTATAATATAATAAGTAGGTATTATTATAACGTTATTATTCATGAAATATAGTACGCTATTCTAATGATTAATGGACCAATGTTAAATACATACACAGTTAAGTCCGAAAACTACCCAAGTAATGGAAATACAAGCACCCAGAATCACTTACGACAGGAAACAAAATGAAACAAAACGTAATCACTCCAAGGATAGAATTGATAATAGTTACGTTAATTATATGATATCGATGATGGTGGTGGTGGTAATCGGAACAACAATAATAAGAGAATAATAATCGTCGATTATTATTATTACAGGAAGTTTCGTTATTCTCCTTTTAGCTTCTTCTTTCCTCTCGCATCCTTTCTATGTGTTTTTTCCTTTCTTTTTTCCTTTTCCATACCATAATAATATATACATCTATGGACTAAAATATCTTCATATTTATATATTTTGCTTTATATATATATATTTATATATTTAATAATAAATTCTAAGGTAGCAATTTAACATCATCGTCAGTCGGTCCTAAAGTGATATCGACACGTGGCCCAATGCATTCAGTTTATATATGTTAGTCTATTTTCGCTACGTTTCTTTCCTCATTCTGTCGCACAGTTCTATCACAAATAAACATTTACTGTTAAAAAAAAAAGCCCGGAGAAAAGAAAGGACGTCGACGGCGGCGTTCCAAGTAAGAAAAATCACTATTCGAATTTGTTAATAATATCCATATAAAAAGCTTCTTCTTTTTTTCCTTCTGATATTATGTACATCCTTATTTAATATATATATATATATTACGCTCTATACTTATACATTATAAATTATGTGCAGTTTCTACATTGTAGACGTTAATCGTACGTTGAAATTGTATGTTTCCTCTTTTGAATTCATCACACCCTGTGTTTACAATGTGTATTTTGTTTTGTTTTTTGATAGATATAGGCCCTCTTCGTTTGCTCCATGTAGAGGCATTTCAATTGGACAGGTTTTTTCGTAGTAGTAGTAGTATTAAATATAATTAATTCTTATTATATTATTATATCTTTCTTGTTTTTTTTTTTGTTCACTCTTTCAAACTCTTCTCTTTACACATCATCGAATTCTTTTTTTTAAAAATATTGCCACGTAAAGTTACTACTGCCCTTTCCGTTTTCTTTCATCATATTTAATATTAAAAAATATTTCATATTTTTCTCATAGAGTCTTTTTTGTTTTTTTTTTAAATAATTACGTTTATGTACTTTAAAGAACGACTAGGATTTTTGGGTTTTCTTTTTTGATGTCGGTTTTCTTACGTTTGTTTCCGCTTTTCTTTCTCGTTTTCGTTTTGTTATGGCACGTTTTCTTTTAAAATCCCAAAGGGGTCGATTTTTGTTTGCGCGTCTCGGGGAAATCACGATTCGTGTCTATGTATTCGGCCCTTCCTCTGGCCGCTCTTCCGCCGTTTGCGCTTCGTGTCCCTTTGGAAGGCCACGTTTCCGGGATCGTCCGCCAATTGCGGATACTTGTGGATGCTGTGGATGTCGATGCCTTCGTAACCGTCGACGTAACCGTGCGAGATCAGCTCTTCCTTCTCCTCTTCGGTCCAGTCGCCGCGGCCCTGGAAACCTATGGCGACCAACTGCTTCTCCAGTTCCCAGGCCCTCTCGACGGCCCTCTTGTGGGCATGCCTCAAGATCCTGTGTCGCTCTTGCTCTGGATCAGCACCGTATTTGATGATGACCACGGCGTCTGGATTGTGAAGCCTCAGCTCCGTTCCAGCGGGCGAACCGTGCTCGGTTATCTCGTGCGTGGACACGTTGAACATTCCACCGAGTCTCCTCAACTCCTCGAGATCATCCTTGATCTTCAGCACGTTGTCCTTGACGAAATAGAAGACGTCCTGATCGTGGATGCTGAAGTGCATCTCCAAGAAGAACGAGTTGTTGAACACGGACGTCACGACGTCTTGCACTACACTGTTGACACCCTCTACAACACTGACCAAAGCCCTTCCATTGATCTTTGAGAGAAGCACACCTTCCCCGAACACGGCCTTCCTGTAGGCCACTCGCGGAAGCAGATTCCTCGTTTTCGGCTCCATCTTCAGCAGCGGTTTCGGCACGAAGCCCAAGTCCGAGAACTTTTCGTTCACCTGCACAGATTCAAAATAATGAATACATGAATACACATATATATCACCCAAATATATTTACCTTTTCCACTATGCATTGCAGTCCGGACATTACGCCGAAATCTGGCGCCAGTTGCCTAGAAATAACCGCGGCCTGCGGTCTGTATATAAGCTTATTCAGATATTCCGAACCCATCATGTCCTTCACGTTGTAGCCGTAGAGCTGCAGCCAGCTGTTCAAATCCGTCATGTACTTCACGTCCGATTTGGGATTGATGGGGTCGTTGTTTTGGAATCTGTATATAAACACGTCGGTCGGCGTCGTGAGCTTAGTGGCCAACTGTTCCCAGGCGGGTGTCATCCATTGCCCGACGACAGGATCGTAAAGCCTCTTCGAGAGGTACACCAACTTGGTGTTGGGATCGAGAATGCCGCCGTGGAAGTCGACCGGCAAATAGAAATCGGGATTCGTGTCCATGATGATGCTTCCGAAAGGCGTGCGTTTCATCTCCTTGATCAAATTACCGTTGATATCGAAGAGGGCGAGTGGTGAGCCGTTCTGATCGGAGGCCACGTAGAATCTTTGCTCGCTGGTCTCGACGGTGATGATGACGTCTCTCTGATCGTAAAGGAATCGGAAAGTGCGGCCGGTTTTCGGGAAGTGGACGTGCGACACGAGATCTGGGGTGCTCGGATTCGAGTAGAAGTACTGGGTCACGTTGCCTTTATCGTCGTTCCACGAAATAAGACGGCCCCTGTCGTCGTAATAGTACCACGTCTGGAACTTGTCTCTTTCGAAGGCGTGGATCAGCTGACCTCTGGAGTTGTACCGGTACTTCTGCTCGCCTCTCCTCACAACGTAACCGCGATTATCGTAGTTATTGAACTCAACATCTCCGTACTGCACCACTCTATCTCCGCTATCGTAGCCCAAAGAGATCTTCTCCTTTTCCTTGATAACACCGATAATGTTGCCGTTCTCATCGTACACGTACTTCCAATTGCTTGAGCCAACCACTTCGAGCACATGCCCATCGGCATTATAAGAAATCCTATCCATACTAGTCGATCTGCCGACGAGCAACTTCTGAGTTTTAATTCTATTCCTTGTATCATATTCCACTTCCAATCTAAACACATCGAACGATTTGATGTTGATCAAAATGGATTTAATCCTGCCGCGATCGTCGTATTCTGTGATCGTGAAGAATTGCTTGCCGCTGTCTTGCATCACCGATCTATTGAAGGTGTTTCTGTAGATGCGCAAATCGCTGATTCCTTCCAAGATACCGTAGTTCTGATGGAATTTCATCCTAAGCTGCGGCAATTCTTTCCCATTGATGTCCACGTCGATGGCGGACAATCGCGCATTACCATCGTACGAATACTTGTAATGAGCGTTATCCAAGCCGCTCTTGCTGTTGAACTTGAGCTTCTCGTCCTTCAATATGCCGGCATGGTACTTGAATTCCTGCTTCAATTCAAAGTTCGGTTCGACAATGTCCACATTCTTCACCAGACCCGAAGTCTCCTGGTACACATAATGTGTGGAACTCAATCCGGCCAGGCTAGTTTCCAATTTCCCGGTGGAATCGTACACGTAAGCCACGCGTCCCGACTGATGCGGGTACACTTTAGCAAGTATCTGTCCATCGTCGTTGTATATGATCTCGTACGGGTGGCGGTTCATTGGGGAGAAGTATTGGTATTTGAAGAATCCAAGGGACGTCTGCAGAGAGAACGTGTGAATGTGTCCTCTGGGTGTAGTCAATGATTGAAGCGCACCGGCTTCGTCGTATTGAAGCAAATAATCGGATCCGCGAGGCGTAGTCACCTTCAAAGGCTGCAACACAATTATTATGTTGTTATAGAATAAAATAAAAATAAATTAATTTGTTGTGAAAACTCACCAAACTGCTAAACATATCCTTGAAGGCGTAAATCATCGAAGAACCATCGCCGTACTTAATTTCGTTCAACCTTCCGGCCCTGTCAAAGCCGTAGGTTTCGCTCAAATCACCCCACTTCCAGTTGGTCAAGCGGCTGAATCTATCGTATTCCAATTCGACTTCAGAGAAGATGCCGTTCCTGGGTCCCCATTTGACGGGTCTCGCCGTTCTATCGTACGTAACGTTCAACAATTCCACGCGGTCATCCATGAAGACGGAAACGGAAGCGGTATTGCGATCGTATTCTAAAGTCAAAAGGTTGTCCCCGTTGACGCGTAACTTGCGTCCAACTTGTGCTACTTCTTTCGGAATAACGTTCTTGCCCTTGTTTTGGACGCGTCTCAAGAAGTATCTCCACTCGAATCTGTTGGCCAGATCTCCTCCGAGCTCGGATCTTTGCTTAGCTGGAACCGGATAACTTTCTCCCAATATCGGGTCCAACTCTGCAAGCACGCTGTATGGAACGGTATCAGTTGTAACGATGTGCCCCCAGGAGGTCGTGTATTCTACTCCGCCATCGGCCAATAGAATTATCTTTTGCTCGGCTTCTCCGACAATCGTGGATACACTCGATCCCTTAATCAACATGCTTATCGGTTTCTTGTTGTCCTGTCCGACCTTAACTGTCGCTCCCTTAATGCTCAGATCGAAGGACAGACTGATGACCTTTCCGGTTGGTGTTACGGCAGTAGTCAGTCTTCCGAATTCGTCGTAATTGTACACGTAACTCCTTCCGCTGCTGTCCAGTTTGGTTTTCAGCAATCCTGTTGGGCCGTGGTAATCGAACGTGACGTTGTAATTATCTGGAGTGCTAAGTTCGTGCAGCATTCTCATCCTGGACATCCGCAGTCTGCACTTTTGCCCCTTGGTGTTCTCGATGGAGTTCACCTGGCTCGAGTAGTCCCTGAGGAGGAAGACCTTGTTGCCGGCGGCGTCGGTGACGGTGCTCAGTTTTCCGTTGCTGGTGTTCACGTTATAAGTGAAGAGGTAGTTGGTCTCTCCGGTCAGTATGTTCTTGGTAGCGATGTGCTGTCCGAATCTATTGAAGATGTAGATCTCTTGCGTCTCCGGCGAGAATATCTCGTATTCCCTGGACGTGCTGGAGTCCGGTATGCTGGCCATCACTGATCGGATCCGGTAATTGGCCTGATCACCGATATGGACATGCCCGTCGGGGCTGACGGCGACTGCGGAAATTGTGTTGAATTTGGAATTGGAGGCCAGGTAATGGTCGGCCTCGTAGCAATCGCAGCCGCGCTCCAGGCAATTGCACTTCGATTCGGCGCCAGCGTACGGAGCTATTTTCCCGTCCGTACCAATCACACGGATGCGATTGATCCTCTGCGAATCGCTCTCGGCTACGTACAAATCTCCTCCAGCGCTGAAGGTGATGCTCTGAGGCATTACCAAAGTCGCATGGGTGGCAAGCTCGATGTCGTATCCAGAAGCGGGCGAAGCGCAGTGCAGAGGTCTTCCCGCAACAACCTTCACTCTTCCATCGGAAGTCAACTGGAGGATCATATGGTCGTCGATGATGTGCAGGGAATTATCGATGGGGTTGATGGCAAGTTCCGTGGGCCATCTCAGATGCACTTCCTCGATGTTCAGAGTTCCTTCGCACGGAATCGGTTTCCAATGCGACTTGTGCATATGGTTACCGATAACAGTAGTCACGATTCCATCTCGATCCACCATCCTGATGTTTGTTCCATCGGCGAAATACAGTACGTTATCATTGGAGACGGCAACGCCTTTAGGATAAGCCAATTTAGCGTCTCTGGCCAAAGCACCATCGCCGCAGTGCGCCTCATCTCCAGGCAAACAACGTTCACCAGACCCAACGACCGTTTCCCAATTCCTTTCTGGATCACCGTACTCTTCAGTATTCCTCACTCGTATAATTTGATGCGACTCCGGGTCTGAGATATAAAGCGTTCCATCCAAAGGACTGAGAGCCATGTGGTAGCGATAAGACACTCTCGTAGCACTAAAGGAATTGTAGTAAAACAAGCACAAGCTTAGTAAATCAATCGAGTCTGTGATTTGCAAATAACTTACTTCAAACGGACGACCGTTTTAACAGTTCCATCGGTTAGGATTTTCCTCACGAGATTGAAGTCGCCGACGAAAATGGAGCCATCCGGAGCGGTGGCCAAGGCAACAGGAGCCAATAACCTTTGTTTATTGGCCTGTCCTTCGCAGTCCTGGCATTCGAGTGGTCTCTGGTGACCATCGCCCATAGTTGTTAATATCACTCGCGGCTTATGCTTCAAGTAGATGTTCGAGCCGTCGCCCTTCTGCAGAATTCCTGGAAAATAATAACGCTCGAAATTTAGCAAAGCTGCAAACTAAGTTTAATTTTCAATCACTCGACACGTACCTTCGTGGAAATTGTATCTGTGATGGATATCCAAATTCCAACCGCCGACCTCCGAAATGCTCATATCGTGTCCACTCAATTTAGTGGTCTGCACGTCCCAAATAATGTCCTTACAATCCGTGTATTGGTAGCCAACTTTGACAATGGCCGTGGTCACTCCGTACACCCTTTGCCTGTACACGTTCAGTCTGTTCCAGGCGTACGTGAACTTTATAACCGGATCCGCTTCAAAGGTTTTCTCAAAGAGAATGCCCTCGATGGTTATTCTGAGGTGGATCAAATTCAGGGCAGTCGGGATAGTCTCCGGGGTTAATTGCAGTTGTATCGTCGACAAGTATCCTGCCGCTCGAGAACTATGATACACCAGATTCAGGCCGGTGCCAGGGATCTGCATGCTCTCTTGAACGACCTGAGATTCTGCCAAGATCGCGCTCTTGTCTGGACAGGCGCCTTGGAAGCCGTGCTTCCACGTAGCTAATACCACCGGTTTCATAGTGTCAAAGTCGTGGGCGCCGCAAGGTTGCGGAATTCCCATCATCGATTTCTCCTCTCCCGTAGTCATCATAACATCATCGATGATCACCACCTCGTTCCATGGTACCAAAACGATATGAGATTGAGGTCTGAACGGTGATCTTCCGAATTGCAGCGTCACAGCTCCACCTCCGTTCACCAGCAAATCAAACCATCCATCGTCTCTGGTCAAAGTGAATCCTTCCAAAGGAGTGCTTGTACTCACTCGCACTCCCATCAAGCCCATTCCCATTTGAGTAATAACTCTACCACGAACAACAGCGGAGCGGCTAAAGAACAAACTTTACGTTAATACACAGCATGGAAAGACAGGCACACACACGTTACGTTAAAGACAAACTACAGAATTACCAAACAACAGAGATTAAGCCAAAATAAACGTATTGACAAACACAAGTGGATATAAAAGAAAAGAAACCAGGCACAAACATGACACGTAATGGTAGTAACAATAGAATTACTTCAATAGATCAATTATAATCTTCGTATTTCTTTTCGTGTTTTTTTTTTATTTATTATTATTATTTCTGTTTTATTAAAATTCTGTGCATTACTGAACCTTACCTTGTGTTGAAGTGATTCCAGAATACACTGAGAGTAGCAGCAATAAATAAGAAAGCTTAACGTTAGCAAATTTCGCATTAGAGTATTGTAAAAAGAGAAAAAATGATTTTCCGATGATTTTCAAAAATACTATCGAATCGTATAAATTTTGGAAAATTGTTTGCGTGAAATTGAAGCTTCAATAAAAAAAAAGAAATGAGGGAAAATACACATAGAAAAGATAGAAATATATATATATATATAAAGAGAGAAGAAAGAGAAACAAATGGTGGTTGTTAAACACGTCACATACTAAAAGAAAATAAAGACAACAAATGGGACAAGTGTTCGACATGGGGCACAACAATGCATCTATGATTAAAATTTGTATCGTACATAGATGAACATCAAAAAAAAAAACACAAAAAAACCAACAACATTTAAATCGGAATCACCGAATATTAATAAAAATTACAAACATAGTAAATATGTTTGTAAGTAAAAAACGATATTCGTTGAGGGTTAAAAAAAAAAACAGGGATGTAATAGAGAAATGTAGTACCTTTCGTTGAATGTTTCTTGGCGAGCGTAATTTTGGAGACTGCCTTCGTCGATTAGGAACTTCATGCGTTCGAAGAAGGAAGCTGTGATCGCTGGCGGCTGTTTCCTGAGCAGAATGTCGATGGGTTTCGGAGCGGAGACGCACAGCTGGCTGTTCTTGCACAGACGGTTGGAGCAGCACTCCGGATCCTCGCAATCCACCAAACCATCTGCAAATATTAATTAGATCATGTGTTCTTGAGACGAGTCCACGCAGCGGAATTACCTTTATCGTTATCCCGGCCATCGTTGCAGTTCTGTTCGAGGAGGACGTTGCAGTCTGGGCCATCCCAGCCGTTCTCGCATCTGCATTCCCAGGCGTTGTCCGCGTTGAAGCGACATTGACCATGGTTGGAACAACTGTTCGGACATCCTTCCATCGTGCAATGCTTACCGTTCCATCCAGTAACGCAGAGACAAGTGCCGTTCTTGCATTGACCGTGCTCGTTACATCTGGGGTCGCAGAGCTTCAAATTGCAAGACTCGCCGCCCCAGCCTTGATCGCATTGGCAGGCATCGGAAACGCAATGTCCGTGGTTGCCGCAATCCAAATCGCACAGTTCTAAACGATCCGATTATTTAATAAAGAAGTTCATTTTAATATTGAGATACTTTACCTCTGGAGCAATCCTCTCCGGACCATCTGGGTTCGCAGGTGCAGGTTTGGGTGTCCAGGTCGAATGTCCCATGACCCGAGCAATCTGGCAGACACTGGAGGGCGTCTTTATCCATTTGGCCGCAATCAACGCCCTTCCAACCCTTTTTGCATATGCAAGTACCTTCGACGCAATAACCGTGGCCTCTGCAGTTGGGATGCGGGCAGTCGACTAAATAAGGAAAAGGAAACAGGTTTAGCAAATGCATATTATTAACTAAACTAATAGTTTTGATAGCGCCAACGATAATAAGCGAACAGATGGAAGCAGATTGTTTTCTTTTTTTTTTCATCATCATTTTCTTTTCCCTCAGATCCTTACCCTCTTCGCAGAATTTGCCCTTGTAACCGCGCACGCAAGAACACTTTCCGTTGGAACAATGACCGTGTCCATTGCAATCTGGTACTTCGCATTCGTCGTGTCTGAGGGAGCACTCTTTGCCCTTCCAGCCTGGATTGCATTGACACTCGCCGTTGATGTACTCTCCTCGTTGGCTGCACAGCACCGGACATACACCTAACAAGGAAAGGTCATTCAACATGCTATTACGATTTAATTTGGAAGAGAAGCGATTAGTTAAGCGGTTAACACTATTGATTTAAGTTTTTTTTTTACGTCATCCCCCTTTACTATCGATTTCCACTAAAACTTACTCTCGCTGCAATCGTCTCCGCCGAATCCTGGGTTACATTGGCAATGACCCATAAGGCATTCACCCTTTCCGCTGCATCCGTTCGGGCAGTTGTGGGTCATATCGTCGGCGACGGCGGCGATGAAGGCCACCTCCTGCGGATCACCGTCATCGTTGTAGAGGGACAGGAACCAGTGTCCTTGCTCCATGTAGTGCGTCACCTCCTTCTTCACAGAAGACTGCTCTCGAGTTAAAGAGCCAGTTAAATATACAGATAGTGAGGAATGCGGAGATGAGAGACTTACGTGCGAGGCCCTCGACATTCGAGCTTTAAACCCGCTCAAGACCTCCAGTATGTGGTATTGTGTGTGAGTGGGTAAAGCGTTGCGCCTGGCGTATACACCTATGCTTGCTCCACGCGGAATGCTATAGTCGAACTTCACGTAAGCCGCTTCGGATTGGTAGAATTGCATGTTCCAGTAGCCGTACGGAGGGATCTCCTTGGACAATCGTTGTCCTAATGATATTTGGGAAAACGTTGTCCCATCGGGTGGAAACGACTGGGCCGGAAACGTTCTCGCTCCTGTACACACACACCACAGAGATTCGCAACGTTAACAAACGATCTAACAAGCACCACTCGCGCTCTTAATTAATTAATTAAGCTATTATTTAACAACACTGTACAAGAAACTACAGACAATTATGCATGCAACAAAAAATTTAAAAAGACATGCAACGTGTTACTGAGCTGGAGATTAGAGCCATGTTATACTCCTACCTTCTAATATGAGAATGGGTGGTGGTGGTTGTGAGGAGGCTTCTGGGGGACAAGTGTATTCCGTTGCTTCGGTTGTGCTAAACGAAGTGGTATCCTCTGTAATTACAGTTGTAGTCTCATACTGGTCGCTGCTAGATTCCATCTCCTTTTCTGTCGTTAATTTGGAAACTGTTAGGTTTTGTTCAATCAAATCGTACGTTTCCTCGATGTTGTCTCTGGAATTGTTATCATCTTCCAGGCAAGGACAGGAGCACTGGCATTCGCCTCCTTCGACCATCGGCTTTTCGGTGATGTCGTTGGATTTGGCCCACTCATTCGGCACGTGCATCATCGCTGCAGGTTGCAACTTCTGCTGCTGCTGCTGGTGACTATCCACTTGTATTCCAGGTGATGAGTCTGAATTGCCATCGGTGGGAACAGAGACGGAAAGCACGTAGACTGATTGCGACGCGTACGGATTATTGGAATCCGATTCGGTGGAAATGGTGACATTCACCAGGACTCTTTTCGCGTTCGCATTCGATGGCTGAGCGTTCATCGACGGTATTTGAATGATCTGCACGTTGGCGTTCGAGTGATTCGATGTAATTACGTCCTTTGATGGCGGCTTTTTTTCCGAATCGTTTAATTCCTTTGATGTGTAATTAGGGAAATTCTTTTCGTTCTCCACTTTGACGATCTCGTCCTCGCCATGGTTGTACATTATTTTCGACTTCATCGTCGTCGATAAGTGCTGTTTTTGATTAAGCTTGACTATTTCGATCTCGTCCTGTCCGCCGTACGAGTAGATCGGGAAATCGTGCTGGATGACCTCGGGACCCTCGAGATGAGACGGTTTCATGCTGTGGCTTTCGCCCAATTTGCTGTTCGTCTCCATCTCGATCGACTTGTCTTTAACATCTTCGGCGGTGATTTCGATGACATCTTGCAGGATCTCCGGTGTTGGCGGTGATTCGGATGTTGACGGGATATCGTCCGATTCGGTGGTTGTGGGAATAAGGTCGGTGGTGGTTTCGGTCGTGGAGAGGGATTCGTTCGTGGTGGTAACTACAGTGGATGAGGACGAGGAGTTCAAATCGATATCCGATTGAGCTGTCGTCGTCGGGATTGCGGTGGTGTCCTCTTCAGAGTTCTCCGTTGGATCAAGGGTTGTTGTGCTGATGCTGACACCATTGCTGGTATTGCTATCGTCGTTGGTGTTAGTCACTGTTTCAGTTTCTTCAGTGGCAGTAACGGGCTCTGTACTACTACTTGGGAAGAATTCATGCAAGGGTGCTAATGTACCGGCATGCGTACCACCATCAATCTTAAGACTAGCAAGAGACCCGAAGGTGTTCGGATCGGATAACACAGACACATGCGGAGGACTGTTAATCTCTCTACGTTTTCTCGATAGCACGCTATAATAGTTACCTCCGGAGGAAGGGCGCGGTTTGCTGGCAGTGGATAGGTTCGTTTCTGAGGTGGTCGCCTTCGAGGCCGGCAAGATGTCGGTCGGGGTGTTCTCCCCGACCAGCACGGTGCAGGCCTTGTTATTCTGATAGGACCAGTTGATGAGGCTCGATGCTGCAAACAAACATACCAAACGTTCATACACCATTCAAGAGGTACAATGATGAAGATGACTTACCGAAGATAAAGGAGAGCACAGCGGCGAGCAACACCGACAAAGTTATGGAGACGATCGCCGTGCACTTCCAGGTGCATTTCGAGGCCAAACCCTTCCTGAAATGGAAACGGCTGGGCTGTGGGAAGTGGCTCGAATTTGGGCGACGTAAGTTATTGCGGACGGGCAGGACCGGAACGGGGGTGCCGTAGGGCAGACCGCACCTCTCGGCGTTCTTCATGTCCTTAGAGGGACTACTACACGATGAGTTTGATTTGTAATCCATGGTTGCATTCTTCGGATGATCTGCAAGCAAACAAACAAATAATTACATTTCCAGATAGAATCGACGCGTAAAGATAGAAATCGCAGCTTCCACTTTTGACACACACTCAGAGTTATTTTCCTTGAAATTCCAACAGAATGAGGATAAAACGAGAGCGGTACAGGAGAGAAAAGGTAAATTCACGGTTGGGTTGATCCTCTCTTTCGGCTTTGCCATCTGTTGAAGGGGAAGAAAAGAAATTCGAGTACCTGGCTCATTTCGAATCAAGAGGCCCCGACGCCCATTCAGGCACAAATCTCATAAAAGGAACACGAAACTAACGAATCCATTGTCCGATTAGTTATTGTAACTTATTTGGATTCAATGCAAAAACTAAAATCGACCAAAAATTCAATAAACAACAAAATCCATCTTACACACAAATATTAACAATTGTTCAATATCCCATGTTTCTTATTGTAATAAATATTATTTTAAATTTACAATAGAAAAAATCCAATTGGAATTAAGTTGAACACAAAATTAATAAGATTAGCACTTATTTTAATTAGTTTAAGTGAAAACGTCTTAAAGCGTACAAAAATAATAATACTACACAGATACAATGTAAGAAGTTTCAACGACATGCAAAATCCATCTTACACACAAATATTAACAATTGTTCAATATCCCATGTTTCTTATTGTAATAAATATTATTTTCAATTTACAATAGAAAAAAAATCCAATTGGAATTAAGTTGAACACAAAATATCTTATTAATTTTGCACTTATTTTAATTAGTTTAAGTGAAAACGTCTTAAAGCGTACAAAAAATAATAATAATACTACACAGATACAATGTAAGAAGCTCTAAAATAAATCAAGAATAAATTGAAATCTGGAGAGCAGAGAGCGGCAAAGTGTCTATTTCCAGATAAAAGCTTTTACTTTTAAGTACTTTTAGTTTTATTAAAACGCTGATAGACGTCTCAAGCACTCAACCCGTATTTTCTCTCTATTTCACTCACCAAAAATAAATATGAGAGCATTATCTGTGTTTAAGCCACTTGGGCCGAAACCGTGTTTAGTTTTCCAATATGCAATTATTATTAGCGTTGTTTACATAAGGGATCAACTTACAGAAATCCTACGATAACGAACAATTCTCTTATCAACCAAAATTTTGCCATGTTTGATTTAGATAATCACATTTTTCTTCTATTGCAATTCCTTATTTTCTGTATGTGTGTATTCAATGATTAAAGTAATAAATGAGTTTGAAATAACTGCTTTCACGTAATGAAATATGATGAAATAATTTCAATTGGTTAAATTAGAGAAGAGAGAACGTGTATATTTTAATCTGAATTAAAATATTATTGCAGCTCGTTTATAAACACATTACTTTCTGATTGATTCGATTTGCATGTCGTTGAAACGCGTTTATTGCTACAATAAAGCCAAGCGAATCCACCACAACTATTACTTTACTCCCCTTCTTCTATAAATATGTTTCTTTACAGTTATATAACCCAACTATATAACGCAGAAGTAAATATAACGCAGCTTGTTTCATGGACATTAGTACTTAAAGGAGAAACTAGTTTTATTTTAAACTTATTTAACCATTAAATCAACCAAATAAATTGATTTATAGTTTAATTAATTACTATTATTTATGTGTATTCGAATCCCTTAAGACGTTTATACATTGTGTAATAAATTTCAATTCTTTTCTACTTAAAAAGTATTTTCATCTTCCCAGTTTCAATTATTGTGAAATTGGGTCATAAAAATTAATTTATTGAAATTAATTTCAATGTCTTTGATACAATTTTTCATTGATTTATTTGTATGTATAAAATACTTCACAGAAAACGTGATTATCCTTAGAATTAATCATTCTCTCATATTTTCTTTCTTTTATGAATTAAACGTGTTTATTTACGTTCCACGCCGAATGGTAAATGTTTACAGCACTATTCCAAAAAAGATTTATAAACATGTTTCATTCTTTAGAAAGAAACAAACCGAAGTGTCGTATTATCTTCAAGTTCCAAAAAAAGTTATTTAATTTTCGAATTCCTATTGTATTCAGGAATTACAAAAACTTAATTATTATTTGTTCGAAACTATTAAATCATTCGAATATCGACATTTTTTAAATAAATTACGTAGAGAATGAGAACAAAGTGTAATATATTATACAAAGTTTATGTAGGTGTATTCCGTAACATTATTTTCAAATTACACAACTGATTTCCTTATTATTTCAATACACATATTTATTAATTAAGTAAATTAAAGAGTAAAAAAAGTTTTTTTTTTACATTTTAATACATTTGTTAAAAAATCTCATTTTTTTTTTGTTAAAATATGATTAAACTCAAATATATAATAGATATTTCTATTGTTTCTAATTTATTAATTTCATTTTGTAAATTTTTCCAAGTTCTGTTTCGTCAAAAGTATATAAATTGGATTAAAACTTGAACCCGTTTGTGTAGTAATTTCGATGGAAACAGTAATATTTTCTTAATAATATTACGTTTAAATTGCAGCGTTTGTTGTTGTTGTTCATGTACACTAATTTCTATTTAATGAACGGAGAGAAAGAGTAAATAGACTACGAGTAAATAAAATTGCGATAGAGAGACGTATTGTTGTTTTTAACTGCTTATTTCGAGTTAATTTCATACACACAAAACAGTTTAATTTTTCTAATTGTAAATTCGTTACAAAATAATTGATGAAATAAATAATTGCTAAATCGGATGTTGATATTTACTGAGTGCAGAACGTCGATTTTTTTTTTGTGATTTTCGCTGATGGATGCAAGAATTTATTGTCAAGTTACGCAACTTCTTCGGCGATTTATTGGAGAACTCGCGACGTACCTTTGTTGTGCAATTCCGAAAATTTGTACTGCACATGTTCGTACATGTGATCGTGGTGTACGTGATTGGAGCTGTAATAGTTTTCCTCGCAATTCCCATTGAAAAAGGCCATAATAGGTAATCCCAAAAATGAAGGAGAGTGTAGGGCGCGTGCACGTAGAAGATCACATTAAAGACACAGAGAACGCACAAAACTTGTAGATAAATTTAAAAAAATAAATAAATAAATAAACGCGAGTTGATCGAACACATCTAGCTAGGGTCGCGAAGGGCGCGCTTCGGATAGCATTTTGGTTGTGGCTGTGTATTCTGGGTGGTGGTGGTAGTAGTACTAGTATGGATGACTAGGGCTTCGATGCGCGCTAGGTATGAGAGCTGTGACTGCGATGCGATGCGCACTGTACGAGAGACGCGACTCGACTGGCTGAAAAGGGAAAAGAAGAAGCCGATCTGAACTTACTCAGTGTGCCCGTCGGTATATACACATTTCCTGAAGGTGTCCTGACAAGACAGGAGGGTTCGAAATCTTGACTAGGGTCGGAGGGTGGAGCACTTGCCAACCGCCCGTTAAGACGACTCATTGTTGGATTTCTAGGGGGCACATCTGGCGGTCGAGTGGCGTTGTCTAATAGACATCCTGCAATGAAAAACAAGAAAGAAAACCAAATGAATTGAGGACCAAATCCAAAGATTTAGAATTAAAGAAGGGACGAACAATGAAATTACTTATACGTCTCATCGATTTCTGAATAATAAAATTAACAAAAAAAAAAAAAAAAAAGGATTAGACGCAACTGTTACGTGTATCTATAATCCAATTACGTAAAGCCAAGGGACTGGAACGTGTTTACTTTTAGAAAATTCGTTACAAATTCCAAGCCCTTTTTTTTATATATAATTCTCACACACACTTCAGAATTCCACCTCTAAATTATTATACAAACTTACACACAAATGTAACAACCCTTGTGGAAAGCAATTAAAGTTAATATTTTATGACTTAAACGTGTTTGAACGATACTTTTTTCATTACTCAACTAGACTATTTGTTAAATTAATTAGTCTAAACACAAACAAACCCAAAATATATACAAATTAATGTTTGTAAAAACTAGAACAAATTGAATCATTTTCAATAACAAATTTATGCATTTAATTAATTTAGTTATGACGTAATCATATATAAAAAAATTATTTATTGAATTTAATGAATAATTTCACAAAATTTTGTTGATATTCAATGAAATATCATAATTTCTTATATTTATCAGTTGTTCACTATATTTATATAAACAGTTGAAAAAAACTATTGTTCTCAATGATTAAATGAAATTTCTTGTATATTTTCATTAGAATTATTAACTAAAATAAATTCAAAATTGTTAATTGAACTTTCGTGAAAAAGTACGAATTTTACGTTATTTATTTTACGAATTATTAATAAAAGTATAATACTTAACATAACTATTTACAACATTAACATAATTATTTTCTATATGATTTTATCTATTAATTTAGTATTATAAATAAAAACAACTAAAATTATGTTTAATATCAAAAAGAAAATAAAATAATTTTTGAGTTTCAAATTAGAAAATTTCATTATAAAATAACTTAGACTTAGTTTATAAACAGCC